CCAGTTCTCTCCACGTGTGGCCCACTTCACCCTTGTCGAATCTATTTTTTAGACATATCTTACCTATTTTATTAGAATATAACGTAAAGATAGAAGTTTAGATTTAGATCTCGACTTTAAAAACAAACCTTGAGGTAGTAGCCTATTGTTGTAGTCTACCATTCTGGAGTTTTCCCTCTTTGGTGCTAGTGTGACACTGTGTACCTGCTTCTTTCTAGTCTTTTGGCATGAACCAGCGTCCCGCGGACACGCATTAAATGATTTATTCTCCTTTTTTTCTGTTCAATCTCTAGGGACAATATGTTACATATTAATCATCAGAGGAAGACCGGCATAGCCACAGCCTTACCTGATACAATGAACAATGCAGCGGCAGCTGTCAGAAATGGAGTGCCTTCGATTGAAGTCACATATACCTTCACGGCATTGTTCGCACTACCCTTCAAAATAATGTGAAGAAATTAAAGCTCTTCAAGATGAAGTTGAATTGTGTCCAAATTATCGTCGCAGTCAAGTATTTACAGTAGAACAGGAGGCTGATTCGACGCAGTACATGTTGAAATGTGCCAAAAGATCAGTTTGACAACTGCTCTGCAGAAAACTCGTCTATGACGTCGCTGTTGCAAATCACATCCTTTAAATCGTAGGCCTACCCACCTTCGTTGGGTGATGCAAAAATGTGCCCGAAGAAGTGGCAATGGGTTTTCTTTGGAGACATCCGCAACTCAGTTTGCGACAACCAGTGGCTACCTCATTGGCAAGAGCCATGACAGCTTTCAACAGACATTCTTTGGGAACATTATTCAACTTTTGTTCTTAATTTGCTGCACGCTCTTTCTAGATATATTTTAATGACCTGGGTGTCTCATCTGGAGATCAGATACTCAATCTTGATGAAACAGGAATCATAACAGTCAGTCCGCTTAAAGTCCCAAAAGTCGTCGGACCTCGTGGTACTAAGCAGTTGGGCCACATAACATCAGCAGAGCATGGCGCGGTGTGTGAGTTCTAAAAAAAACCACCAAGTTTTATTACAATATGTTGATGTTGTTGTTGTTAAAGAAAGAGACAAAGGTGATGTTGGGGTTGATTTTTTTTCCAGAAGAAAGGGCAAAAAGAGCCCACACTTAGTAAAACCAGTAGTGGAAGATATTATTTTCTTCTGTTCATATTCACTCAGTCAGAGCCATTTTACCCCCACCCACATTCTGAATTTACAGGCACTATTGAGAGAACCAGGTGACCTCTGTTTCTAGGTTGTGACTTTGGACACTTTGGTGGTCTTAATTTACGTTAAATTCGATATTTGTGTGTTGTGAAGAATTACGTATTGTTTTTTGTTTGTTTAGGTTCCGATAGCCCGGTAACGGATGTCACCTGAGGCCCACATCTGCCCAAGGGGCCCCATTTCTCTCCACGGGGGTGGAGGGGGGGGGGGGTTCTCCCCACCCATGGCCCACTTCTCCCCACTTGCAATGTTGACTTCAGCACCATATAAAACCATGTTCATTCTATCTCTGTTGTACCGCTTGTAGCTGGTTTTTAAACACATGTTGTTTTGATTGATATTAAGCATTTTTCCCTTTGCTTTTTCAATTTTGAGTTAAAGTATTGCTGTTGTTGTTTTTTTTATCTTTCGTTTACTTATATTTTTGAGGATTTGTTTTTAGATTGTGAGCAAAAACAGGACTCGCGGGAAATTCCTTACCCACTAAATGTACAAACTTAGTGTGCAATTGACAAAACTGTAGCATAAATAAGAGTACAGCAATGTCGGCAAAAGCGTCGAACCTTTATTACATTCGATTAAATAGTCAAGAAAATAAAGTTCTCTCTTATTTTAAAATACAAATTAATGTCCAATAATATTCACTAGGACACACTGGCATATTTTTAGGCCTGAGAAGGTGAAGTACAACAAAGAATTGTTGTACAAATAGCTGTATCCGTTGAGAATTTGATGAATTGACAATAACAACATAACAACAGACATTGCCTCGACTTCCTCTCTCTCCAGGCCCAATCGAAACCAAAACTAACTGTATAATATCATAGGGCCTAGATCTAAATCTAGTATGAGTTCTTTTGTTGGCGTCCTCCCATAGCAAGATTGAACCAAAATGAATGTCAGCAGCTCTAGAAAAAGACAGGTTGATCTCACCCGTCGTGATGAGAAATTAAAAACGCCGAAGTTCATATCTCAGTCTAAGAAAAGCGATTCTTTCGTCGAGGGATCCATCGTTCGAATCAAGTTGACCAAGTTCTTGTAAGTTGTAGATTCTAGATCTAGAATTCTAGAAAGATCTAATTTACTTTCACTCCCGCACACAGATGCACTGTTTCAGGGGTCAAACTGCTGTACTGTTTGCTGCAGATCACACATAAGGCCACCTCTATTCTCACCCGGGGTGAGAATAGTGCAGGCGGGTCTTGTGGCTATTCTCACCCGGTGCGTGTGTCAA